GAAAGACAGGAAGGAAGAAAAAAAAAAAAAAGAAAACTTTACAGCTAATTAATTACATGTGAATATCCAGTTTGTTCCCAGACACAATCTATGCCATCATTTCAAAATAGTTTAATGTATGTTTATCAGGACAACTAAATTATCTCTCTAAAAAGTAATTACTTATAAAAATGTTACAAAGTTTCCTTCTGAAACAAACTGCTGCTAAAAAACATGATGCTTTCTAGGGGCGCCTGGGTGGCTCAGTAGGTTAAAGCCTCTGCTTTCGGCTCAGGTCATGGTCCCAGGGTCCTGGGATCGAGCCCCACATTGGGGGCGTCTCTGCTCAGCATGGAGCCTGCTTCCCCCCTCTCTCTCTGCCTGTCTCTCTGCCTACTTGTGATCTCTCTCTCTGTCGAATGGATAAATAAAATCTTAAAATAAATAAATAAATAAAAACATGATGCTTTCTAAACACACCCATGCACACTGGCTGCTATAATAATAGTGGTCATGGTAGTCTTGATGATGAGGTTTTCGTTGCTTCACATCTTTCCTCAATTCTGCTGATTAAGCCCTAAGCGTTAAAATGCCCTTTTACAGAATGCTCTTTCTCATTCTTCACTATCCTGTTGCCTTCCCTATTTTTTTTTTTTTAAGATTTATCTATTTATTTGAGAGAGAGAGAGAGAACAGGTGAATGGGGGAAGAAGGTTTCAGGGATTAGAATGCGGACAACTTTATGGGACCATTATTTTACCTACTCCAATATACATTCTCATACTTCCCAGAATTGAAACATGGTAAGGCCTCAAAAAATACGTCTATTGAATTAGTGAATGAACAAATCAACATTGACCTACAACCCCTCCAAAAGCATTTTATTTATTTATTTATTTATTTGTATTTAAATTCAGTTATCTAACATCATTGCCTGAAACCTGTAACTGTTTCTTTATATGTCAAAAGGGACTTTGCAGATGTGATTGAGTTAAGGCTCTTGAGATGGGGAAAGTAGCCTGAAATATCCAGGTGGGCCCAGTGTAACCACAAGGCTTCTTAAGAGGGGAAGGCAGAAGGGTCAGAGTAAGAGAAGGAGGTTGATGAAAGCCGGGAAGCATGGAGAAGGCCAGGAGCACAGATACTCAAGGATTTCATTTTGTCCTCCTTGAAGATGGAGGAAGTGGTTGTCATTGAGCCAAGGAACACAGGTAGTTTTTAAAGTGGAAAAAGACAAGAAATTGGATTCTCCTTTGAACTTTCAGAAGGAATACAGCCATGCCATCACATGGGTTTTAAGACTTCTGACCTCCAGTAAGGTACTATTAAAAAACTTACGGTGGGGCGCCTGGGTGGCTCAGTGGGGTAAAGCCTCTGCCTTTGGCTCAGGTCATGATCTCAGTGTCCTAGGATGGAGCCCCACATTCTGGGATCGAGCCCCGCATGGAGCCCTGCATCCGCATAGGGCTCTCTGTTCATCAGGGAGCCTGCTTCCCTTCCTCTCTCTCTGCCTGCCTCTCTGCCTTCTTGTGATCTCTGTCAAATAAATAAATCTTAAAAAAAAAAAAAGTCCTAAAAAAAAAAAAAACAACAACTTACAGTGTTTAAAGTTATTTGTTGCAGCAACAATGGGAAACTGAGGGGGCCAGATCTTAAAAGCCTCTTTTGAGAGCTGAAAGGTGAGTAAATAGCCAAGTAAATTTGGGGAATGGAGAAAGAATTCCACACTAAGAGATTAGTTTATGAGATTCACCAGGAAGATAGCTAGTCAGTATAATCAATTAAGTCAGTGAGGAGATGAAGAGGGAGAGCAGTTTCTTGATGGAGGCAAAGAGGCAGGAGTTGAACAATTTTTATAAGGCATTCTATGAAATGGGAACAAGAATATCTAAAAGTGTTAAGATTAAATGATCCATGTAAGTGCCTAGTACATAATAAGGTACTCAAAGAATTTTGGCTGTTCTAACTGTTCAGGTTTGAACTTAGGTTGTTCGAAGATTTAATGTAGAATATGGTACGCAAGATAAACTGTTATTCAGAGATATAACAAATCTACAGAAGATTGCATAAACATAGGGAGACATATTAACAAAGAGTTCTACAGTAACTATATAATCACCAAACCACACCCTTGTCCTCATGGAGCTTACAGCTGAGATGGGGAGACAAAAATTAATCAAATCATACAAATACAAGATCAAATCTGGGACTAATGCTTTGAAGGAGATGCAAATAAACGTAATAACAGCAGGATTCGCCCTAGTCAGGAGAACAAAGAATTTCCCAAGAAAAAGATACTTGAGGTGACTGCTAAAGGAAAAGCAGAAATAAACCAGCTCAAATGGGAGAGCGAAAGAGCATTCCAAGTAGGAGGAATAGCACCTTTAAGGGTCTGAGGCTATGCTGAGCACAGACTGTGGAGAGTCCTTTGAGTGACAGTGAGAAAGGTAGGTTGGGCAAAGAGTTGAAAGACTTTAAATGCCAAGCAGAGATATTCTTCCCTAAACTTTGTGAGCTCCTTGAGTTCAGAGACCATGTCTTATTCAATTTTGCATCAAATCTAGAATAGGTTTGTTGAATTAACTTGAGTGCAGATTTTATTTCCTAGCCAGTAGAATCCACTGAAGTTTTTAGTCCGGTAAATCACAGTATTGATTGGTTAATGCTGGTAAGGACAGTATGAAGCGATTACTACCATAGCAGGGGCCTGATGCCTTGGAGGACTGAATTTTGGCTGAGCACTCAAAGCTTTCCCAGTTGAAAGAATAACAGAATTATATTCTGAAGGTGGAGTAAAAGAGAAACCTGTTTTTCAAATTGATATGATATGAATGAATGTAAGGGCACTTAAAGATCTAGCTTCCCAGGACCCATCCCAACCCTCTAAATTAGACCCAGGGAGGGGTAGGGGCAGCTGTATTTACTAACAAGCACCCCACTTGATTCTTATTCTCAAAGCTTGGAAGACCCTGGTATAGAGCACATTCAAGGGAAAAGGAAAGACATGTACATACGAAAGAACCAGAAGATACATTTAGGAAATTAGTGGAGAGTAGGGTGTTTGAGGGGAAGTAGTTATTGCTGAGGCTGAGATCATGAAAAACTTTACCAATAAAGCTTTTCCTTACTAAACTAATGTTGTGAATAATGGAGAACCATCAGAAGATCTTAGGTAAGGAAGTGAATTTTCGGGGGAGGAATTAACCTGAGAAGTTGAAGAGTGTAGGTTTGAGAACTTTCTGAGGAATAATTGATAGGGTTTAATGACTACTTCCATGAGAGAAATAAGAATGGAGTGGTGAAGAGTAAATTTAGGGTTTCTAATTTGGTAGACTGTCTTTGTTAGGGAGGAGTAAGAAAGCATCCCATTTTGACGTAAGTTTTATATGACAGATGACACCAAGTGAATATGCCTACAGACAGAAATAGAGACCTTCAGTCTGGGAGAAAGTTCTCAAGATAATATGGTTATGGGAGTCATTTGGAACCAGGGGAATTTCATTTCTATGAGGATGTACATTGATAAATGGGCCAAACACAAAATTAAAGGGAAACACACGTTGAAGTAGCACCTAGAGGAGAAGCTGGCAAAGGAGACTAGAGATGAAAGAGCTAGCAACTGCAATCTTGGCTACTTTAATTATCTGATGTTCCCTATACTCCCAGGGTAAGTGAACTGAAAAAATAAGAGTATTTTAATTTTATGATTGGACGATAAAATACCTGCCACCAATTTAGGACATTCTAAACATTTAGTAAAACTCAAGAAAACCTGTTATTGATTGACTCAACCAGCTAAAAGAAACATACAAAATCTAAAACATACAAAAATGATTCTTAAATTCAAGAATTCCAGAAGTCTTTGATACTTGAATTTTAGTCCTGGCTCTTCCATTAATTTGGGCAAATCATTTAAATTTTGTGACCCTGTTCTCTCATCTTAAAACAAAAACAAAACTGATGCTGGCATAACTAAATGATATCTTAGGTTGCTTCTAGCTCTAAAATCTAGAGTTTTTCCAGGGACCCAAGCAAGTCTGAGATGGAAATCTTAAACAGATTCATGCAGGAGCAAACCTTGAAGTAATAACTGTTTCCCTATCTCACCCTTTCCCCTTCTCAAATGAATATTGATTTAGATAGACCCTGTTATACACAAGGTATTGAATATTTTTCCAGTTCATGTCATGAGTACTTTTTTTTTTTTTTTTATGAATACGTTTTTGATCGCCGCTCATCCCACTCTGAGTCGTGTCTGGTGTCATACCAATGGAATGACATCCATTCGTACTCCACCTAGAAGAGCCTCTATTTCCTTGGTGCCTTTGAAGTGGCTCATCAAATACATGAGACTCCCCTTCTTCCTGAAAGAATCACAAGCTTTCTTCAGGGAGCTGTTTTAAATGAGACGGGGCTCTCTAAACTGAGGGACTCAACGCGGTTCAGTACACACTCGGGACCTCAGAACTACAGACTTTCCCCTTCCCCCGAATTAAAAAATAAATAAATAATAAATAAAAACACTTTACTTTTAACAAGCCTAATGATTCCCTTGCAAGAGGTATTTACTTTATTATTAAGTAACAATGGTGCAGGACAAATGCGGAATTGGGTAAGGTCCTTCTTCACTTGATGATTGCAAATATTTGTACCAAGCACTGTGCCGGTTCGGAGATTTACATCAATTTAAAAAAGACAATCCTCGTAAGGTCGTCCCCGATTTGGGTTGCAGCACGGAGGGAACTTCCGCATGCACAGTCTTCCAGGTGAATAACTGGATATTTCCTTAAGGACAGGATGTGAAGTCTTCTGCCCAAGAAGACAAAGCAACCAACTCCCTTTTCTTCGCGCCGCCTCATTAGACTCCTGGATCGCGTATACGTTCACAACGCCGCGCGCTCACAACAGCTTGACTCCTTCCAGTGGATGCACCAGCCCGGCGGCAGGCTCCGCCCCGAGGCCTGCCGCATTCCCAGCGGGCGCCACGCGTGCGCCGTAGCCCCGCCTCTTGCGGCGCAGTGATGGCGGAATTGGACATAGGGCAGCACTGTCAGGTGGAGCATTGCCGGCAGCGAGGTGATCTAGCAGTCCTTAGCTCCGGGCATGGTAGACTGGGTCGCACTGTGTCTTCACGGATAGTGGTGGCGGGTGAGGGGGGTGCTGGGGCGGGGTGAAGTCTGAGGAGGCAGGGTGGATTCGTCTCTCCTGGGTCTGCAGTGAGATGTGTTGGTATTTTTTTCTTGCTCCAGAGCCTTTGGAAGAGACTTGTGGTCTTTTTAGAAGCGAACCATGCAATTTCCGAAAACATGCCTTGCAGCGTTCCCTTTGTTTTTCGAGTGTGCCTGGCCAAGAACTTGTTGTGTCCTTCCTACTCATTTTTGATGTCGGGAGACTTGTGTTCCCCTCTGATCCCGCCACTACAACCTTGGGCAAGCCACTTTCCAAACTTTTTAATCTGTTACTTACCTGTCAGATGGAGTCGGGTGAGGTCAGTTTTTCACCTGTCTTCGTGGCTTCTCGTGAGAATGCCCTTAGCTTTTAGCAGATTCTCATCCTCAGACTATTCTGCTAAATGATCTTTATGCTCACTCAGTTCTTTGATTGAATATTGTTGACTCAACAAACATTTACCAAGCATCAATTTTGGTGCTGGAACTACATAGGAGGGTATAGAATAGTCTTTTCCATAGAAAAGCTTTCAGGATAATGTGCATTTTGGAGCATTAGTAAAGCGATGTGCTCTCTACGGTCAACTGAGAGCCCAATCTAATAGCCAGTGGTAGTGTGGCACAAGCTTTAAGATGTCCTACACTTGGACAGGGAAGTTTCCAAAGCATTAGAGCGATACAGAATGCTCAGTCTTTGGTATCTGGGTTTTGCTTCAAATGTGTGCCGTCACAGTTGACAGTTACTACATAGGGTGGCAAATAGGTTTCATCTCTCATTGCAGCTTCAGTTATTGGTTGTAGGTACCCGGTGAAAAGAGGACTCCGAGATTTAACCCCAGTTTTATTGGGAATGCCATAATGGTTTAGTGATACTTGCTGTGGGCAGCGGGGGAAAAGGGCACACTACCCTCTATGTTCTTCTAACTTACAGTCTTTATGTGTATATTTTACCACTGGCTGTCATGGCCAGCCATTCAGAAAACCTGTATTTCTTTTCATAGAGATCTCTCATAGAGAAGCTTAGCCAATTGGTTTTGACTGTAAGTTATGTTTATCTCTGGTATACCTGATTACTAAGTCTGTGGTATCTGCCAAATTCAGGGATCTCTTAAGATATAAATATATATGAAATGAGTCCAGGGTTTACTTCTTCAGAGTAGTGGAGAGAGGGTTAGGATTTAGAGGGTATTAAGTGAGTATCCTAAATCTCACTTAGCTTCTGTATGGATAGAAACATAGTTTCCTACCTTGATCTTAACTCTTCCCTCTAGGTCCTTTTGGTCTGCATATAGTATCTAATTCATCATCATGAGTTTCAAAGTAGAAAGCATGTATAATTTTTCTAGTTTGAAAGAGACATAGAAGTTAGAATATTATGTGCTTCATTTTCTTCTTGTTAACAAATGAGTGCATACTTTTTTGGGTATGCAGCATGCTCACAGTATCATACCTCAGAACAACAGTGTCAATTCACTTTACTTACTTCTGAGGTAGAAGAACTGTATTCAGACTCCCTGGTCCTACAAGCACAATTATCCAGGGATCCCTTTGGGTTATGATAGGACCTCTTTCTGTTTTAGTTAAGGTACCCTATAGGATGAGAGACCTTTTCGGGGGCAACTGTAGTCTTCTCTAAAATGTACCTTTTGTTTTCACTTTGTAAAAGTGCGATTGGACATACCAGCTTCACTTGACTGTATAGTTTCAGGTGCACAATATATAGATTTAGCAATTCATTTACTGCTCCGCGCTTACCATGATAAACGTAGTCCTCATTGTCACCATCCAGTGTTATAATATTATTGACAACATTCCTTATGCTTTTCATTTGTGAATTGATTATTTTATAACTGGAAGTTTGCATCTCTTAATCCCTTTATCTGTTTCACCCATTCTCCCACCCACCTCTCCTCCGGCAACCAGCAGTTTGTTTTGTGTACTTAAGAGTCAGTTTTTTTGTTTGTTTCTGTTTAAAGTTCCACATGTAAATGAAATCATATGGTATGTCTGTTCTGTCTTATTTCATAGTGATACCCTCTAGTCCATGCACGTTGCCACAAACGGCAAGGTCGCATTCTTTTTTATGGCTGAGTATTATTCTGTAGTATATTTACGTACCACATCTTTTTTTTTTTTTTAAGATTTTATTTATTTATTTGTCAGAGAGAGAGAGAGAGAGAGCAAGCGCATACACACAGGCAGAGTGGCAGGCAGAGGCAGAGAGAGAAGCAGGCTCCCTGCCGATTAAGGAGCCGGACGATGCAGGACTCAATCCCAGAATGCTGGAATCATGCATGACCTGAGCCCAAGGCAGTGGCTTAACCAACTGAGCCACCCAGGCATCCCTTACATACCACATCTTTATCCACTCATCTATCATTGGACACTTGAGTTGTTTCCATATCTTGGCTATTGACAGTAATGCTGCAGTAAACATAGGGGTGCATATATATTTTTGAATTAGTGTTTTCATTTTCTTTAGGTTAATGCCCAGTAGTGAAATGATTGAATCATATGGTATTTCTTTTTTTTTTTTTAAATGGTATTTCTATTTCTAATTTTTTTAAAGAACCATTGTGACAGGTATAAGGTGATATCTCATTGGCTTTGATTTGCATTTTCCTGAGGATTAGTGATTTAAGCATCTTTTCCTGTATCTATTGGCCATTCTTATATCTTCTTTGGAGAAAGGTCTATTCCGGGCCTCTGCTCATTTTTTAAAATCAGGTTGTTTCGTGGGTTTTTTTTGTTTTTTTTTTTTTTTTTATCTTGAGTTGTATAAGCTCTTTATATATTTTGGATATTAATCCCTTTTCAGATACATCATTTGCAAATATCTTGTTCTATTCAGTAGGCTGCCTTTTTGTTAATGGTTTCCTTTGATGCACAAAAACTTTTTTATTTGTTATAATTCCAAGTTTATTTTGTTTTTGTTACCTTTGCCTTAGGAGACTTACCTAGAAAATGTTGCTAATGCTGATGCAAGGAAGGAAATTATTGCCAGTATTTTCTCCTAGGAGTTTCATGGTTTTAGGTTTCACATGTAGGTCTTTAATACATTTTCAGTTTATTTTTATGCCTGGTGTAAGAAATTTTTTTGGTTTCATTCTTTAACAGGTAGTTGTTTAGTTTTCCCAACACCATTTATTTTATTTTTTTAAAGATTTTATTTATTTATTTGACAGAGAGATCACAAGTAGGCAGAGAGATAGGCAGATAGAGAGAGGAGGAAGCAGACACCCTGCTGATGTGGGGCTCGATGTGGGGCTGGATGTGGGGCTGGATGTGGGGCTCAATCCCAGGACCCTGGGATCATAACCTGAGCTGAAGGCAGAAGCTTTAACCCACTGAGCCACTCAGGTGCCCCAGCCAACACCATTTATTGAAGAGACTTTTTCCCATTGTTTAATCTTGCCTCCTTTGTAATAGGTTACTTGACCATAATAAGATTTTAGACCACTGTTTTCATTTTCATTTATCTCCATGTATTTTTTTAATTTCCTTTTTGATTTTTTGGTTACCCACTCATTGTTTGGTAGCATGCTACTTAGCCTCCAAGTATTTATGTTCCTTCCAGATTTTTTCTCTTGTAATTTCTAGTTTCATACCTTTGTGGTTAAAAAAAAGATGCTTGATAATGATTTTAGTCTTCCTAAATTTATGGAGACTAGTTTTGTGGCCTAATAGGTTATCTGTCTTAGAGAGTGTATGTATTTGAATGTATTCTGCTGTTTTTGGATGGAATATTCTGTGTATGTATTAAGTCCATCTGGTCTAATGTTTCATTCAAAGTCACTGTTTCCATATTGATTTTCTGATTGGATGATTAACCCATTGATGCAAGTGAGTTGTTAAAATGCCCCACTATTGGGCGCCTGGGTGGCTCAGTGGGTTAAGCCTCTGCCTTCGGCTCAGGTCATGATCTCAGGGTCCTGGGATTGAGTCTCACATTGGGCTCTCTGCTTGGCAGGGAGCCTGCTTCCTCCTCTCTCTCTCTCTCTCTGCCTGCCTCTTCACCTGCTTGTGATCTCGCTCTGTCAAATAAATAAATAAAATCTTTAAAAAAATAAAATAAAAAAATGCCCCACTATTATTGTATTGCTGTCAGTTTCTCCCTTTGTTAGTAATTGCTTTATATTTTTGAATGCTCTTATGTTGGGTGTATAGATACTTGTTACATGCTCTTGTTGGGTTCCTTTTATCATTATGTGTCTTTGTCTCTTGCTTCCATGCTTGTTTTGAAGTCTATTTTGTGTGCTGTAAGTATTTTGGCTTCCATTTGCATGGTATGTTTTTCCACCCCTTCACTTAGAGTTGTACGTGTGTCCTTCACATTGGAGGAAGACCCTTTTAGGCAGCATCTAGATGGATCTTGTTTTTTAATCCATTTGGTTGTCTTGTATCTTTTGATTGGAGCATTTACTCCACTTACATTTAAAGTAATTATTGAACAGTATGTACTTATTGGCATTTTGTTACTTGTTTTTTGGTTGTTTTTTCTTCTCTTGCCCTCTTGTGGTTTGATGGCTTTCTTTAGTGTTAGGCTTGGATTCCTTTCTCTTTATTTGTATATATCTCTTATAGGTTTTTGATTTGTGGTTATTTTGAGGTTCGTAACATGCATATGGCAATTTATATTAAATTGATGTGGTTGCTTAAGCTTGAACACTGTTCTAAAAGGATTTTATTTTTATTCGCCCACCCACGTTGTATGTATATGTCATAGTTTACATCACTTTGTGTATCATTGGACTTGTTTTTGTAGATACAATTCATTTTACTGCTTTTTAACCTCCACGCTGGTTTTATAAGTGATTTTTGTCTACTACCTTATATGTTTGCTCTTACCTGTGAAATATTTTCCTTTCATAAGTTTCTTCTAGTAGGGCCTTTTCTTTCTACTCAGAATTCTCTTCAGTGTTTTGTGTAAAGCTCATGTAGTGGTGATGAACTCTAAGTTTTGTTTATCTGGATGATAACTTTGCTGGGTAGAGTGTTTTTGGTGGCAAGTTTTTTCCTTTCAGCACTGCAAATATATCATGCCGCTATCTTGTGGCCTATAAAATTTCTGCTTGAAAGTTAGCTAATAGCCCTATGGGGTTTTCCTTGTATATAGCTTTTTTTTTTTTTTTTTTCTTTTTTTAAGTTTTTCTTCCTGCTTTTAAAATTACCCTTTTGGGAAGGGGGTAGGAGAGGCAAAAGGAGAAGAGAGAGAACATTAAGCAGGCTCCATGTCCAGCATGGAGTCCAATGCAGAGTTTGATCTCATAACACTGAGATCATGACCTGAGCTTTAATCAAGGGTCAGATGCTTAACCGACTGAGCCACCCAGGTGAACCTAAAATTATCTCTTTTTCATTACTTTTTGTCATGTTAGTTATTATGTGTCTTGGTATGGACCTCCTTGGGTTCATCTTGTTGGAGGTTCTCTTTGCTTCTTAGATATGGATGTCTGTTTCCTTCCTCAGTTAAGTTTTCTGCCGCCTTTTCTCCTTTTCTGGGATCCCCATAATGTGAATGTTAGTATACTTGATGATGCTGATTTCCTCTATCCTATTCCAATTTTTTATTATTTTTTCTTTTTTACTCTTCAGCCTGGTTGCTTTTCATTATCCTGTCTTCTGAATTTGTGGTCTGTTCCACTGCTCCCCTTATCTGTTCTCTCTAGTGTGTTTTTTATTGCAGCTATTAAATTCTTCATTTCCAACTGGTTCTCTTTTACATTTTCTATATCTATGTTGAAGTTCTCTGAATTTCACCCACTCTTTTCTCAAGTCCAGTGAGTATCTTTGTGACTGTTATTGTTTTCATTATTGGATATATTGCTTATCACAGTTTCTTTTAACTCTTTTGCTGTGATTTTTTGTCCCGTTCTTTAATTTGGGACATATTTTTCTCTCATATTGTGTAACTCTGTTTCCATGTATTTGGGAGATCAGCTATGTATCTTGGTCTTGAAAGTTAGTGTACGTGTGTTGAAGAGGTCCTGTGGTGCTTGTAGTACAATGTCACCTGGTCACCAGAACCAGGTGCTCCGGGGTATCTTCTCTGTGGGCTGCATGTGCACTACTGTTGTGGCTGAGCCTCATTTGCCTTCAGCCCTGTTGGCTGCAGTGACCTACTTGGCTTCCTGTGGGCACACTGGGCAGAGTTTGGTTCCTGCACTTTTGAGAGGCCTTGGTGGGCTTGGAAGTGGCTGAGCCAGCATTCAGAGTAGGTATGCGCAGACAGCCTCTATGGTCCAACTGAATGGTGGGGCTTTCTCCCTGAGTGGCCTGTTAAAAGCTGTTAGAACTTGGGGCGTCCTGTGTGTGGGGTTATCCCCCACTTCCCCAGGGCAGGAGTCACTTTGGAGTGGCACTGGTCCCTACTGGGACTGCTTGGAGATACGGCAGGAGAGGAGCCCCTTTGGAGGGAGTCTGCTGAGGTGAGCAGATTGGATGGGGTAGGAAGGCAGGTGAATGCATGGACAGAGGCACCCTGGTAGCAAGGTAGTTGGAGAGTGTTAGTGCTGGTTTTTCCAAGGCCCCTGCTATCTAACCTGGGAGAGGAAAAGAGAAATGGTGCCCTCTAGCACTTCGGTTCTTGGAGAAGTCTGAGGACCCTGTCCCTCTAGTGCACATTCTGAGATTAGTAAATAAATTGCCTTCATGAATACCCAGGTGTTTTTCAAACAGCTATTTCTGTGCTAGTTGCCAGCAGTTACTTATTCTAACTTTTTAAGTGTGAGGACTCCGTTTACTATTGCTTCCAGCTCTAAAAGATTTTTAAAATATCTGGAGGTGACCCCAGCTGATTTTAAAAGCTTGTGAAGTTTAGCCTCACTGGTTTTCAAAGCCTGATATTATGAGGACTTCTCTTCCCAGTGCAGGTTTCCAGTAGCTGGGGTGCTTAGTACGGGCTCTGATCCTCTAGCTTCTCTGTGCTTGTGTCCCTATTTATGTCTAGTCTTACCGCAGGTTTGGATCCCAACTGTGTCTCCACTCCTCCTACCCTTCCAGTATGTCCTCCCTCTGTAGCATTAAGCGTGGAAGATCTGTTTCACGTCTTAAGGTGTTTTTCAGGGGTAGCTTTTATCTTGGTGTATCTGTGGGAGGAGATGAGCTTAGGGTCCTCCTACACTGTCATCTTCTCATTGCCCCAAAACTTCACTATTAAATACTTTGCTTAGCATTGCTAGGTTAGTAAACTGTGGAATCAGAATTGAAACCTAGGATTTTCACTTCAAATGCAGGATTTTTGTAGCATACAGTACTCAGAAACAACACATAATAAATCTGGGCATCCAAAAAACCCTAGTACTTTTTTTTTTTTTTTTTTTTTTCTGATTTAGCACACTACTACAAAGAACATTTAATCTCCTGATAATCCAGTCATTCCCAGAGTGCTTGAGGTTGTGATAGCTTTTATTTAACTACTACTTCCTACACTAGGATATAGGTCAAAAAGAAGAGTTCTCCTATAGAGGTAGTTCAGTACTTTAAGGATCTTTTTGTTTAAGAAAACTAAGTCAAAATCAGATACTGACCAGTGCATGTAACATTTTCCCCTCAATTTTAGATTTTCTTCCTTTTGTGTGTGATGGTTGTTCAGGAGTATTTTGGTAAGTTAAATTTTTATACAGGATTTGGGAGTAATTTTAGTGTTTGTAATATGAGATTTATTTCTGAAAAGCAGAATGATTTAAAATAGTTTTTAATTTAGCCACTGATATTTTATACTATAGTAATTACTTAGAAAATATAGTCCTAGGCTCTGATTACTTGTGCATACATATGGGTAAACTTTAAACTTTCAGAAATGAATTTGTCTTTGTGATTTTACATAGAAGTTATATTGTGGTCTTGTAATCATAAGGAGAGAACATAGCGACAATATAAAGAATATGGTAGAAGGGACTCCCTGGGTGGCTCAGTCGGTTGAGCATCTGCCTTTGGTTCAGCTCATGGTCCCAGGGTCCCAAGATTGAGTCCTGCATCCGGCTCCTTGCTCTGGAGGGAGCCTGCTTCACCCTCTGCCTGCTGCTCCCCCTGCTGGTGCACATGTGTCTCACTGTCTGTCTCTCTCTCTGACAAATAAGATCTTAAAAAAAAAATAAGAGTAGGGTAGAAAACAATCCAGGTACTTCATTAATTAAAATGAAGAATCTAGCCTATACATTTCTTAAATTGGATATCACATGTCCATTGCACATACATCACATGCAAGATAAAACCTGGGAACTAACCAAAGATTTTGAAAAAGGTCTTTTCTTTGTAATTAAACTTTTGTGTTTTAGGCCTTCTTCTTTTTTTGTTTTTTTTTTTTTTTTAAGATTTTATTTGAGAGATAACATGAGCATGAGTGGGGATACAGGCAGAAGGAGGAGAGGGAGAAGCAGACTCCCCACTGAGCAGGGAGCCCCATGCAGGACTGGATCCCAGGGCCCCTGGGATCATGACCTGGGACGAAGGCAGATGCTTAACCTACTGAGCCACCCAGGTGCTTCCATGTTTTAGGCATTTAACTTATTAAATAGAACATGGAAAAAATTAATTATCTTCAGAAGGTAACTCAAAGATTTATTAGGATTAAATAAAAGTAATGCATATTTTTCAGAAGTAGAGCATTTCTTTGACATTTTATTCCTGATGGTCTTTGACAAATAAAAGGAATTAAAAGATTCTTTGTATTTGCACATACCTTGAAGGATTCAGAGGCAGTTTAGAGTGGTGAATTGTTTTTATTCATATTGAAGTAGAACAGTTGGATTTTGAAACTTTTGAGACTATAGATGCTCTTTTTTTTTTTTTACGATTTTATTTATTTCTTTGACAGAAAGATCACAAGTAGGCAGAGAGGCAGGCAGAGAGAGAGAGGGGGAAGCAGGCTCCCCGCTGAGCAGAGAGCCCAGTGCAGGGCGCGATCCCAGGACCCTGAGATCATGACCTGAGCTGAAGGCAGAGTCTTAACCCACTAAGCTACCCAGGTGCCCCTAGATGCTCTGTCTTTAATTTGTCTGCCATTTCAGTTTATTCTTATATGCAGAGTTAATGTATTGTGAGTATTCTTAATGATACTAACCATTAACCATTTAATGTAGTGTGAGTATTCTTAAGGATACTATCTAATTACTACAGTTATCTTTAAGCACATTACTTGATTGAATTTAAACTTTTTTTTTTTAATTATTTAAGCCTTGAACACAGAAGCAGGGAGTCACACAGCTGTCCTGAGGTATGTTACTAGTTCTAATAAAATGCTTGTATTTATGTACTTTCATTCAGAATTTGAATTTAAAACCAGTCAAGGTACCACAGATTAAAATTTGGCATACTAAACCAGTTATGTAAAGAGGCTCTTAGTTCATTTTCTGTTATTTTTCTCAGTTTGTTTTAAAGAAAAATTGGTTTCCTTGTTATTTATAAATTGTTATCAATCTTAAACATTGAGATTAGGTTTAGGTAGCCCACTTACAGCTTTAGGCTCTATATTTATAAATCTACAATGGAGTTAACATTTTCATCATATATTCCTTCAAGTTTTCCTCCACCGTTTTGTTCATTGTCCTTATTTCCTAGTGTTAGGATTCGGTATTTACAAATTGTTCTCACTCAATCAGCCTTAGATCACCAGGAACAAAACTTTAGTCCAATAAAATCCTCACTCCAGTTCTGATCTAATTGAAAGATTAATAAGAGCAGTTAGATAGAAGCCAAAATATCACTGTTACTACTCACAGAGGATAAACTGAATGATAAAGCTTAGTGTGGTGTAGTGTAGGTTGCAAAGGAAATCCAGAATTAGGCAGATTTTCCTACTAGTCACAGCTGCGCTTCGCCAGGTTAGGCCTCCTCCTAGAGAGCAGTTCAATTCCAAGAGGGAAGAAGAGAAAGCTGAGCCCACCATACCAAAGGTAATTTTCTCATATTTATAAGTTGCTTCATCTCCTTTTGTCAGAGAAAGGAAAGAAGTTAAACTGAAGCGAGTTGATTTGGCAGAAAGCTTTGTGCCTTACATTTCAGTTGATATTTTATTCCTGCCCAACATTTACCAAGCACTTTACTAAGGATTTTTATATCTGTTTTCTCAATTATAGAAAGTTAAATGAGCTTCAGTCCCAATCTGGTCCTTTGAGGCTTAGGTGATTTATGTTAGGAAAATAAAAATTAACATTTTGATACTGTGCAAATTAACTGGAGGGAAGTAGTCATATAGTAAACATATTGATGTTTCTTTAGCTTGATAATCTTCTCTGTGCTTTCCTTTTTCTTACGATATCACTTGATTTCTATGAATGTCTCTCATAGAATGTCAATTAAGATCTCCTTAAATAATGAAATGAAAATAATTTTACCATTAGATCAAATTTGGAAAAATAGTCAATTCCAACAAGATATAACTACCATTTATATAGAGGAATGCCCTTTGGTTGTAGATTTTAAGAGATTATTTCACTAAATTCATTCAACTCTAAAAACCTAGTTACTTAAAACTCAAACTAGCCTGACCTGGATTTTTTTTTTTTTTTTAAATCTTGTAAAATCTCTTCTTCCTCAATATTTGCTGGTACTATAATAAAAAATGCAGAATAGAGCATGTAGCAAAATAGAGAATGTATCATTGTAAAAACCATCTTTAACCTTCTGTATCATGGATAAACATACTTTTAAATTTTCTCATACATATATATAGTATATATTTAACTTCCTAAAATCAGCATAGAAAGTAGTTATGACTTGCCACTTGAGGGTTGATGAAATGATGACCTAAACATATTATTATGGGAGCATCTCAGTTTAGGACTGATACAGAGTAGAAGACTAAAATTATGAAGAGTAACTGAATAGTCATTTTAACTTGACTTAGAAGATAAATATACCATAGTAAGAAAGTATGAAAATGTAGAACAGTCAGCAGAGTAATCCTTTCTCACACCTTATTATAATCTGTTATGTGAGAGTACATAAGTTGTTCTGACAAGTTTAAGCGAAAGCGATATGAATGTTGCCTTCCAAAATAGATGTTGATTTGCTTTAAATGTGAAATATATGATGCCATTTTCCCCTTTGTACATTTTTCAGGTGACTGTAATCAATGAGAAACTGAAGTCAGATAAGCCTACATCTTACCCATGCTCATTCAAGGACTGTGCTGAAAGAGAGCTTGTGCCAGTTAAATGTCCTTATTGTGAGAAGAATTTTTGCCTGAGGTGATCACTGAGATCATTCAAATTCTGTATATCTGTTTAAGTTGTATGCTAATTTATGAAGTAGTGTCACTCTTCTGTTGCTCATAGGCACCGTCATCAGTCGGATCATGAATGTGAAAAACTGGAAATTCCTAAGCCTCGTATGGCTGCCACTCAGAAACTTGTTAAAGATATTATTGGCAAGTATCTAGAAAGCTTGTTTTGTTGTTTCCTTATTGCTGTATATTTGTTACAGAGTATTGCTTCTTTGATCAGCTGGCACATTATGGAAGGTGTTTTTATGGCCTCAATGTTTGTAACTTGGTATAGACTTTGATGACATTTTTGTGACCGTATTTCTCACAAGGGCTGTGTGACTAGTGAAAAACTGGGAATTCTATGGATGTGCCCTACCAGATGTTCTCTTTTACTGGGCCACTTAGATCAGCTGGTTAACTATCATGGCTAGACATGGTATTCATAAGGCCAATGTAATGGTTTCCTTTCTTTAAATATGAATCTTAAGTCTCATCAGCTATCTTATGAATGTTGCTGATCATCTGAAGCACCAGGAAGAATGTGTCTGTGACTTAGACCAGTCTTTCTGGCAATCTCTTCAGAATTTTCATTCTGAATTAGGATAGTACCTTTATTTAAGATCTTCTATAGCCAAATCTCAGAGTTTTTTGCAGAGTTGTTAGTGGTTGTTTTGGATTAAATGGACTTAAATTGGAAAAAAGCACATAACAGTGAGTTTTTTGACATGGGGATTGCTTAGGTCAACCTCACTGTATTTTTTTAATGGTCATGTAAATATAATACCAACAAAAAGAATGTGGTATCTATATAGATCCATTGTATGTAATTTGTGTACATTTCAAGGCCATAACTAATAAATAGTAATTGGTAGAACTTTGGAAAATGTAATGTAAAAATTCTATGTGTCTATATGCTTATACTTATTTCCTAGATTCTAAGACTGGAGAGATAGCAAGTAAACGACGGAAAGGTGCAAAAAATAGTGAAACAGCTGCAAAGGTAGCACTGATGAAATTAAAAATGCATGCTGATGGAGATAAGTCATTGCCACAGGTGGGTCTCAGAGATTTTTGAAAAACAGAAGTGTTCCAGAGATGGCTGAAGCTCCTTTTTTACTCTTCCCACCCATCAAGTAACAGCTAATCTGAACCTGATAATGTATTGTTACTAGTATGATATGGTAATACTTTTGAGTTTTTTCCACTTTACAAAGTATCAGTGAACCATCTGCATTCTTTTCAACCTTTTTTTTTTTCACTTGGCATCATGTTTTTAACACTTACCTATGTGGATACATTTAGTCTAGTTCATTCATTTTGATACCATTTTGATGGTGCACATTATTCCATAGTATGAATATACCACAATTTATCCATTTTCCTAACGAACAGACTCAGATTTTTTCTAATTTTTTTGCTATTATAGACTGTTCTAGTAGTGAACATCCTTGTGTATGTGTGGGAACATTTTTCTAGGGTGGTCCCTTTAAGATTCCATAATATCAATTATATTTTATATAATATCCCAGTACATATGTACATACATGCATACATATGTATATATGTACCTTAACACAGTTTCAGTAAGTAATACCTAGTTCTGTTGTATACTAGCCTTATGTGTTACATACTCTGCTGTTTTTTGTTCTGTTTCATTTAAAGATTGTTGATTTTATAACCCTTAAAGGATGGAGACCATCAATCAGATTGAAAAATGCCACTTTAAGGAATATATCTAGAAATAGAAAAGCTGGGTCATGGGGTTTCCTCATCTTCTGTTTTACTAGATAGTATCAACTTTCTGTTGTCAGTGGTTGTACAGATTATCTCCTTCCTATCGTGTCTGAGAGTTTTCAGTGTTTCTTGTTTCTATCTTACTGAAGTTTAAAGTTGAATTTCCTTTGTGACTAATAAGGTTCAGTTACTTTGCATTGATTTATTGGCCATTTTATGTCTGAACTATTCATGTACTTTGCACATTTTTTTCTGTTGGGTGTTTTTCCCCCACACTTTAAAAAAGGGTTATAGGATTTTTTAATATATTCTGAGTTCCAGTGCTTTCTTGACTAAACAAGTTTCCTGTATCTTTTCAGTCTATGGCTTGTTTTCACTTTGTTTTTGACTCTTTAGTGGTTCAGACTTTAGAATTTTAATGTACTCAAATTTAATTTCCTTAAGATTTGTACTTTTTGAAATAAGTTCTTTTCTTATATCATCCTTTAAAAGTTAAAAAAAAAAATCAACTCTTTGTTCCATTTGGAACTTAGTTGTAAGTGAAGTAGATTTTTTCCCCCCAGTAGGGTTCTATACATTTGTTCTATACATTTAGGATTAATTTATGGATCTCAGTTCAGTTCCTTTGGTCTGTTTGTCTGTCTTTGCATCAAGAGCAAACTGTCTTAATTATCATAGTTTTGTAATAAGTAGGACAAGTCGTTCCACCTTATTCTTTGCTTCCAACCACATCTGTTCTTGGCACTTTACTCATTTGTAAATATTTTAGGATCACTTTGTCCTGTTCTTTGAAATTGCAATTTTGATAGGAATTCTTAAATTTTAGATTAGCAGCAGTTGACATCTTTTAGAGTTTTGATTCTTCTCATCCACATCTAATGATTTCCAATTTTTCTTTAGGTCTTTTTTTTTTAATGTCTTTAACATTTTATAATGTTTACACATATTTATATATCTTAGGCGCCTCATCATTTTTGTTGCCATTTTAAGTGACAACATCTTTTTTAAAAAATTACATTTTCCTAATGGTTATTGCTCATTGTTGTATGTTGTCTTTCTGTCTAGCAAATAACCTTTCTAATAGTTCCCATAGTTTGTAGATTTTCTGGGATGTTTTCTGTGTAGCCATATCTTCTGTGAATGACAGTTTCGTAGGTTTCTTTTTTTCCCCCCAAATTTTCTTTTCTTCTTCTCCTTATTTATCTTAGTGCATTGGCTGAGATCTCCAGAAGTCTTGAAATAATGTGGGTGAGAGTAGGCATCTTCATCATTTTTCTGACTTTAATGCAAATGACTTTAACATTTCATCATTAAATGCTGTGTTTGCTCTAAATTTTTGGTAGTAGCCTTTATCAGGTTAGCAGTACTTCTTTCTATTCCTAGTTTGCAAGGAATTTATATCATGAATAGGTTTGAACTCTTACTGTAAGTTTTTTCTACATCCAATAGGATAATTGGGTGTCTTTTCTTACCTTACAAATGTTTTAAATTACATTAATCGATATTTTTGTTGAATCATCCATATATTCCAGAATAAACTGCTTGACTCTGGTATGTAATTCTTCTAAAATGCACTAAGTGATGAGCTATTATTTAGTGTTTGATATTAGTACCTATATTATACACATAAAATTGAGTAGCTTTCTTTTTTATTCCTTGAAATCTTTGTAGTGAGTGGGGATTATTTGTTCCTGAAGGGTTGTTTTAAAGGGTATTAACAACCTTTGAATCTGTTGCCTTTTTTGAGGGGAGAATTTTGAATACTATTTCAATGTTTTAAATGGTTTGTGGTTTATTTGAGTAGTCCTTTCTTCGAAATTTTGGTAAAATTTTTTTAAAGGATTTTATTTATTAGAATTGGAGCACCCGAGTATGGACTAGAGGGAGGGGCTGATGGAAAGGGAGAGAGAGAATCTCAAGCTGACTTCTCATTGAGTGCAGAGCCAGTGTTTGGGCTCAGTGTCAGGACCTTGAGATCATGACCTGAGCTGAAATCAAGAGTCAGGACACTTAATCAACTGAGCCACCCCAAATTATAGTAAACATTAATTTGTCTTAAAACTTCCTGTTTGGTGTAGATTTTCCAGTTTATTGTTATAGAGTTGTTCGTTATTTTCTTATGTTCCAAAATCTCTCTTGTGTCTTTAGTAATCATTCCATTTCAATGTTAATATTTTTTATTGATACTTTGCCCCTTGAACAATCTTGTTAGAGGTTTGTGTATGTGTGTTTTAATTTATGTTTTAGTTGTTTTAGACAACCATATTTTGGTTTTAGTGCCCTCTTTACTGTTTTGTTTTTGCCTTTTTTTTTCTTTCTGTGTCACTGAATTCTGCTTTTATATTTCCTTTTATCTACTTTGCTTAGATTTTCTGATCTTTTTCCATCTCCTTGCAGTGAATTTATTTTCAGCTTGTTTGGGTATGGGGTTTTTTGTTAACTTGACAGTTTAAACAGAGAAAAGTTACAAGAGGAGTACAGAGAATTTTTCCATATTCTTTATCCGAAGGTACCAATTATTTACATCTTGCCCTTTTTGCTTAGTCATTTGCAGTCTTTCTCCTGCCACCACCCCTCACCCATTTGTGTGTATTCATATGCATGTCTGTGTGTGTATGTGCATACTAATTTTTGGTCTGCTTGATCTATCAGTCTGAGACTGAGGGTGCTAAAATCTCCCACTATAACTGGTTTTGTCGGATTTCTTTCTTGTAATTCTAATGGTTTTTCTATACATATTTATTATCAGGTACATGGAATTTCTTATATCTTTATGAATTTTGCCTTAAATCTTATTTTGAATGATAATACTGTTTCATGAGCTTTCTTTTAGTGACTACTTAACTATTACATCTTTTTAAAATCCCTTTATATTTAACTTTTCTGTTTTGTTTTAGGGTGTCTCTTGTAAGCAGTGTATAGCTGGACTTTGTTTTCTTTAATCCAGTTTGATAGTATCTTTTATAGGTGAGTTGAATCCATTTGTATTGTGATCACTGATACATTTGAACCTATTTCTTCCATCTTATGCTTTTTGCTCATCAACCTTTTCCTTTGATTATTTTCTCTCTCCTCACATCTTTTGTATTGATTACATTTTCTATATTCCCTTTTATTCTGCTGGTTTAAAACCATTGATTATAGTCTTGTTGGGTGATTATTTCTTAATATTTTCCCCTTTTTTTGAAATCTTGATTTGATGGTTTTAAAATTACAAATGTAGTACATGCTTTTACAAGTGTAACCTTTAAAAGATGTATAAAGGGAAAAACCAACACACCATCCTTGGCCGATGTCCTTCTCATTAAGGCAGTGGTTCTCAGTTGAGGGTGATTTTTGTCCCCTAGAGTTGCTTGTCACAACTGGACATGGGGATCCTATGGTATCTAGTGGGTATAGGCCTGAGATGCTGCAAAACCTCCTATTATGCATAGGACAGTGGCCACAGTAAAGAATTTTCTGGTCCAAAATGTCAGTAGTGACAAGGTTGACAAGGGCTGCCCTAAGGTATCCAATAATATATTGTTCAGATTACTTTGCAGTTGTTTCATTACTGAAACAAAATAGTAAAAATTTGTATAGCACTTACTTTGTTCCAGGCCCTCTCCTAACACATTTAATCATTGCAAGGAGCTTCTGATATAGGCACTATTAATTTCTGCCTAAAAGGTAAGAAAATTCAGGCATAAAAAGGTTAAGTAATTCGCTAGTAGCATAGCTACTAAGTGGGGAACTACCAGTTGAAACCAAGTGGGCTGGCTTCAGAAACCATGTTCTTAACACAGGTGATAGCTTATCATGGGGAATGCCACAGGTCTGTAGCTGTAACTTTTCCCCTTGCATTAATGTGTGTATGTGTTTAGACACATGTACTTATACACACACACACACACCCATGTGTATGTGTGTATACATATAATTTTACATAAATGGAAATGTTTACTTGTATATGTATGCAAACACAAAGTATCTTTTGGTTATTATTTCATTATTTTATAAAAATGGCATCATATCATTTAGTCACCACATTTTTCTTTTTAATACTCACTATATATTAGAACCTGGGGATACAAGAGTAAATAAAAGTCCTTGCCAACATGGAGTTTATATTCCAAGGGGTGAGAATGGCTACTAAATATTATATATGATACCATGTCAAATAGTGATTATGGCTATAAATAAAAATAAGGCAGGTTTAAGTGGGCTATATATCGTTATCTCTACATATCCTTTTCATTCATGCCCAGCAGAAATTCCCTCAAGGGAGCTGGTGTGGCTTTAAATCATTCTTTAAAAAACTAGGTAAATACTCCAGTTTGGATATACAGGTCTTTTTTTTTTTTTTTTTTTTTTTTGCCATTTTTCTCTTGATGAACATTCAGTTTGTTTCTAGTTTTGGCTACTGTGCTAAAATAGTCTCAATCTGGTTTCTTATTTCTGTGAGCTAAATTCCAAGGAGTGTTTGCTTGGTCAAAGGGTATGTGTATTTTAAATCTTTGTAGGTGTTGCCAAACTGCTTTATAAAGAAGTTGTAACTATTTACATTTCTACTAGCAGCAGTTATTAAGTCAGCTTTTATTGACTGATTACACCATGCCGAGCATTGTTTTGTGGCTTTAAATTTTTTATCTCTTAATACACACACATTTGCTGGTACATTCCATAACTGGAAATACTGGAATATTCTGTATTCTGTGTCCTCATTTCACAGATGAATAATCTGAAGTTGTCTCAGATAACTCAGGATGAGGCTGCCCACCTACCCAGTTTAATATACTGCCTCTTGGGGCCAGACATGAAAGTACCCTTTCCTCCTCCCCTGGTTTGCAAGTAGCTGTTATCCTTTTTAATGTTTTCCAGTCTAATGGCTATTAAAAAGATATTTCTAATTGCTTTAGTTTGCATGTCCTTGACTACTGTTCAGTTTGAGCATCTTTTAATATGTTTGTTGGCCATGTGTAACTGCTCTTTTAGTCACCCATACATATCCTTTGATCATTTTTCTCGGTTGTCTATTAACCCATACTCATATCCTTTTATGTTGTTTGGTCAACTTATGGAAATTCTTGGAGTATAATAGATGTTAAATTTTTTTAATCTATAATCAGTTTGCTTTGGAAATTATTTTTTTCAAAATCTACTTTGATTTTGCTTATGTATCTCATTGACATTATCAGTGGTTATTTTTTTCTAAGATTTGTCTTTTTTTTTCTGCTTTGGTTTTCTTTATTTTTTTGCATCTTGCATTTGTCTTTAATCCATACAGAATTAGTTTTTAGCATAAACTATGAGCTAAGGACCCAATTTTATTTTCTCCCAGTTTTTTAGCTAATTTTGTCATCACCAATTATTAAATCATTTCTCCTATTGAAGATGTTATTTGGTATTTCAATTCATAATAAGTTTAAGATTTATTTTTACTGGGTCTATTTTTGGATTTCCTATTCCACTCATTTTTTACTCCTATCAGTACCGACTTGATATGATGCAATAGCTTTATAGAATGTCCTAATATAATAATATAAGTCCCATCTGTATTTTTTCTTAGCAGTTTTATTCTTTATTCACCCATATTATTCATCCTTATTATATTCAAATTAAACTTTATGGGTGGGGTTTTGGTCAAATGGGTGAATGGGAGTGGGAGATACAGGCTCCCAGTTATGGAATGAATAGGTCATGGGAATAAAAGGCACAGCGTTGGAATATAGTCAATGATATTGTAATAGCGTTGTATGGGGACAGATGGTAGCTGTGTGGTGCACATAACATGATATATAAACTTGTCAAATCACTATGCTATATACCTAGACTAATGTAATATTGTATGTCAACTATAGTAAAAACAAAACAAACCAAACAAATAAACCTCTTGGGATTTTCATGGTTGTCTTGATGGGACAAGGTTTTGAGTGACAGACTCCAGTAGGTAACTTTAAAGATTTTAGGCTCTTTGAAGGAGAAATGGAGAAACTGAGAGAAATCATTATAAATAGCAAGAGAGAACACAGCATAGTCTTAGATATGTGGCTTCCCATGCCCCCCATTTCCCACAAGAATATAAGCTGTGAATAATAGCGCCAATAGGATGTAACGGTTTGACCATTTATAAGAAACCCCCTTTGGTATTCTCAGGAGGATTTATACCCTCTTGAACTCTTCCTCTTTGTAGTGGAGATTCTGGCTTCCTTCCTACTCACTAGATGTAAGCAACTGACGTAAAAGGTCCTAAATACATTGTCTAGTGATTTCTGTAAGTTAGGTAAAGTAAAATTCACTCTCCCAGCTAGTATGGACTATAAGTCCTGACTGAAATCGTTCTGAGGGATTCACTTTGGATTTGCATTGTAGGATATGTAATGTTGTCTAAGAATCCTGTAAGTCTTTTCATTTATTTAGCTCCTGTTTTGTCTTCTGTAACATTTTGTTTTTCTTCATTTAAATCTTATTCCTTATTTTCATCCCTAATTATCTCATGGGTTTTGTTTCTGTTGTGAACAGAATATATCCATCTACCTCTATATCCAGATACTTACTGCCAATATAGAGAAAAAAAGGTGTTTCCTGTTCATCTTACTCAGTCACATCACCAAATTCTGTGATTTTTTTTTCTTTGCCTTCATTTCCTAGGTAAACAATCATACCCCACTAACAAATAAGGATAGTTTCAATTTTAATTTTTCAGTAATTATACTGCTTAATTCATCTTCTGTACTGTATTATCTAGAATCTCCACTGTAATGTTTCATAACATGATATTAGCCATGCGCTTACATTTTTAATTTTTAAAATATATAATTACCAATTTTTCTCTCAGAATCTAAAGTTACTTAGTATTGTATCCTCTTGAATAAGACAAGGAGTTTGACATGCTTTCACGTCCAGTTGAGTGTCTCATCCCTTCATCTTTGTTCACACAGGATTCTTTTTAAATCAGTAGCTGTTAAAATTTACCAACATATTTTTTGAATTTCTCCTTTCCTTAGGACTCACTTTTATTTTGAATAAGTACTATAGTTCATTCCTTAAGAGTCTTCATTGGTAAACTTCAAGTCTTCTGAAAAAGCTCTTATTTTGCCCTCACTTGAGCTGGAATGTCCATTAGATTCTCTCAACTCTCTTAATACACTATTCATTGGTCACTGTTTATTATTGAGGAAGCATCTGTCAATCTTGTTGCTTTATGGGTAATCAGTCTCTTTTTTGTAGTTAGGAGTTTATGATATTTTCTAATTTTAATGCAGTGTTTCTACATATGAATTTATTTTGATTGCCCAAGGTGGCCCTGGAGGTATTTTTTTTTTTTTTTTTCCTGGAGGTACATTTTTAATCTGACTTATTTTTTTTTACTTTTGGAAAATTATAGTCATTACCTCTGAATATTGCTTCCTTCTCTTAACTTTTGTTGGACATATTTTTGGATTTATAATTTCTATCTTTATGTCTATTTGTGCTACATTCTAGAGGACTTTCTCAATTACATCTTCCAATCAGTTAAACCTTTTCATTGAATATTATTGAAATTTCTCCTGTTTGAGTTTATTTCAGAAACTATATTTTAAAATTTTTATATTTCTTATTGGATCTTCATAGCTTGCCTTGTTTCATTTCTGCCTATTTTTGATTCATACCTTTTTGGTCCCTTTTTACGGATATATCCATAAAAGTATCGTTTTCAAGTTCGTTTAGTTCATCTGCCTATGGTAAGTTAACCTTTGTTTTGAATTTCCATTTATAGATTCCACATGTCTGTCTTAAGTAGGTGTTCCTGCTATATTGCTCACTGTGGTCACTCACCTCTCCCTCTTTAGCAATTTTGCACTTTCTTCCACTGGCCAGTCTACTCAGATTGTGCTTTTGCTCTGCAGAGCTTTTCAGATTATTATGGATCCATTTACTCAGTTGGAAGACCTTGGCTTTGTTCACTGTCAGGAGGTTCTCTCTGTGCTTCCCTCCATTCCTAAATACTATGTTTTGTAAGCAGTATCTTAAGTTAGCATTCAGCAGCACCTTCTTCAGCGTCCTTTCCTGGAGCACAAACTCAGTGCTAGCCTCTGCTTCCAGGCCATGAGCCCCATCCAGGTACTTCATCCCCATGTGCCACTGTTGTTTCCCACTAACCCACAGCTGAACTTTGGACTACTGCTTTCTCTTCTGGAGCTTTGAAAGTCTATGTCTCAGCCTGCCTACCTGTCACTTGTGTGTGTTTGTTTCATTTCTGATCCTCACGGATGCTTGTCTTTTTCTTTTTTCTTTTATTTCTTTCTTTTTTTGGGGTGAGGCTATAGCTTTTAAATTTTTCCTTTTGTATTTATGCTCTTTTTTTTTTTTTAAAGATTTTATTTATCTGACAGTGCAAGCAAGGGGAGCAGCGGGGAGAGGGAGAAACAGACTCCCTGCTAAGCAAAGAGCCCGGCTCGATCCCAGGCCCTGGGATCATGACCTGAGCTGAAGGCAGATGCTTAACCGACTGAGCCACCCAGGTGTCCCAAAAAAACCAAACTCCTAAAAAAAAAAAAAAAATTCCCCTCCCTTCTCCTACGTTTTGAATATAAAATCCCAGGAAAAGACCTTGATTGACCCAATTTTATGTCACATCTTGTCTTTGCACAGACCACCCAGCCTAGGGCCTTAGGTCCTATGCATATGCATTTAGGTGGATTCTTAAGTACTGTGACTGATATTCCCACTAAAAGATACATCATTAGAGGGTAATCATCTAACCACAAGAAGAGAGGAAGACAGGTCACCGAACAAAAGCAGATGTTCTCTGTTTATATATGTGAGTGTGTGTGTGTGTGTAATTTGTATTTTAACTTTTTATTTTTACAGAAAGAAAGAGTTTACTTTCACGTTTTCTTACCTAAGGGGAGCAAAGAGAAGAGCAAACCAATGTTCTTTTGCCACCGATGGAGCATTGGAAAGGTCATAGACTTTGCAGCTTCTTTAACTAGTCTTAAAAATGATAATAACAAATTAACAGCTAAGGTAACAACTGGTTATAATTTTTCTTTAAAAGCTTTAGGATACCTGTATACCAGCATGTTTGTTTATTACAGCATGATTTATTTCCTTTCATTTTTTTCCCTTAACAGAAATTAAGGTTATGTCACATTACTTCAGGAGAAGCCTTACCCTTGGACCATAGTTTGGAAACCTGGATTGCTAAGGAGGATTGTCCTTTATATAATGGTGGAAATATTATCTTGGAATATCTTAATGATGAAGAACAATTTTTAAAAAATGTTGATTCTTATCTGGAATAGTCATGTAAGGATTCAAGCCAGAAATAAAGAAAATTTTATGTTAAGTCAATTTCTTTTACTACAAACACTATATACATATATTTTATTTTTAAAAGTTGCTTTTTAACTTATTTCCATTATGTCATAATTTACATTATCAGTTTCTATTAAATTAAATTTGAATTTTTGTGTTAAAGTTTAACTATGAGCAGTTATTAGTAAATTCAGTTATTAGTAAATTCTTATCTTTAGCTTTTATTAGGTTGTGCTTAGTAACAACAAAAAGGTGTATTTCATTTAGTTAATGTCAGCTGTTGTGGCGCTGCTGCGTATCCTCTTTACTCTTGGATCCAAGCTGAAGGAATGATTCATGTTTGGGACATTGCTACTTTTAAGGCAGAGGAAGAAAGAGATGGTTTTTAGAAAATACATGTATCCAAAAAAAAAAAAAAGAGAGAAAGAAAAAATACATGTTTCACTTTTGCTTTAAGCAAGTAACCTGGCCAAACCTTGTATTATGAAGCCAGGGTATAAAGCCTTAACTATATATCCAGATCTATAAATTGATGTGTGTACATGAATCATAGAAACTTGGAGACCATCTCATTCATTCTTCTAAGTTTTTAGATGAGGAATCTCAGGGTAGGAAGAAGAAATGATTTTCTTGGTGTTCTCTGTACTGCATTGGGGCATATCTCTCTGATAAAGGTCCTCATCCAGTAGGATTTACCTTTTTTGTTTGTGTAAATGTATTACAAATGAGAGTAAGATGAGGTAGCACAACTTAATTTCAGTATCTTTATATATATCAAAGCAAAATACATACCAAAAGGAATTATATTTTACCAACACATTAAAATGAATGCTTCTGACTGATCTATCTCTTCCATCGGTACTCAACAAAGTACTACCATATAGAAGAAATAGAAATGATTTCTTCTTTTCCCTTTTTTGTTCTTTTTGGGAAAGACTTTGTCCCTTTTCTGTTTTAATTGTCATGGACACAAAGTAGCTTTACATATAATTAAATAAAGGAAACTCAGAATGTTCATCTCTTTGTATTTTCATGAAAGGAATGGAGATAACTTCTGACTTCTTTACTTACATGTTCATTTATTAAGGTAATTATTGGAGTATGTACCAAATATAAGAATTTGATTGTAATTACCACAGTGGATATAATGATGAGTTGTATGCATACTTATAAAAAAGCTGTGTAGCAAATGCCGAATGAGTAGATAGACAGTAAATATAGATGTTCCAGTGGTTCTTTTATTAGAAACTACAAGACCAGAAGTAGAAATAATCCTTAAATACATTCCCAGAGACCAGAAAGTTTTAATACTAGCATCTGTCATAATTACTTACATATAATAGGTGATCAACACATGCCTCATGAATTGAATTAAAGTTAAATATACCAGAAAAAACAGCAACGGGGGTTTGAGAAGAGGGGAGGTAAGATGGGCAGAAATTGAATTATACCCAGGGAGAATGAAGAAGAGGTCTTGTCAGTGATTAGAGAAAAGACAAAGCAGCATGGAGGAAAAGACTTAATGTCAGCCGGCAAAGGAGAGGTAAGTTAGATCAGGTCCCAGATAGTGTAGCAAACTAGTCTAGAAGAAACACACAGGTACCACCATCCTCAGAGACTGTAGGGACCAGGGGTTTCAGCATGAGCAGTCATCAACAAAACAAGATCATGGGTAAGAAAGTCTCTCTACCTTCTTATTTCTAAACTACAAAAATCAGACAGTTTTCTCAGGCTTTCTTTTGGGGTTTCAGTTGAGTATGCTTAATGAAATTTTTGGGTTTGACTTCCCACTAACCCTAGTATCTTTCTGCCTGCTTGTGGACAATTAGAATTCTAAGTAGAAACCCAAAAATGGGGTGAGGGGCGTATTATATTTAGATATGTGTTTGTAAACCACTATAATATAAACCTCAGTTTAAATGTAATCAGCCAGTAAATACATGTAAATGATAAGAGTATCAGATTTTTCCCAGATTTGTCAGGTTTTTTCCCCTGGCAGTTTTCAGGTAAGGAGAGGAGAAGGCTTGGAGAACATGAGCAAAGGGAAAGGCTGTTGATAGAAAGGGGAACAAAGCTTTAATATTTCACACCCTTGACCTGGGCAACAAAAATTAGAAATTAAGATATTAAGTCATACAAGTAGAAAGATAGTTTTGGGTTCATTAAGTTTTTATGTGTGTTTTGTTTTGTAATTGTAAACTAGGCAGTTTAATTTAATTGAGGTACTACAGAAACATCAGTTCCATTCCCTATTTTCAGGTTGGTACAATGTGTCATGTTTTTCCTAATGTGGTACATGGAAACAACAGGTACGACATACAGAATCTATTGCATTTTAGGGACGCCTGGGTGGCTCAGTTGGTTAAGCAGCTGCCTTCGGCTCAGGTCATGATCCCAGTGTCCTGGGATCGAGTCCCACATCGGGCTCCTTGCTCATCAGGGAGCCTGCTTCTCCCTCTGCCTCTGCCTGCCATTCTGTCTGCCTGTGCTTGCTCTCTCTCCCTCTCTCTCTCTCTGACAAATAAATAAATAAAATCTTTAAAAAAAAAAAAAAGAATCTATTGCATTTGAAAGAGTAGCCTGTATAAATGGAATATTTAAAAGACCTATAAAAATGTCCAATAAAAATTGGTTTGACAACTTCTTGTCAAAAGTGGGGCAAATATTTTATCTGTAATACTTAATACATAACCTTCAGAGTTTCATTTGATAAAGATTGTGTCATGATTGTATGAAGGATCCACTGAAATGGTTATATGTTTGGAGACTACTAGATCTATAGGCTCAGTAGTAGACCATTGCAGTAACTAACCCAAGAATTATTGGCAAAGGTCTCTCTCACACTGTTTGAAACACCTGCAATTCAATATTGCAACCAAAAAAAAAAAAAGGTTTCTTTTCTTCTTTAATTTTTTTTTTTTTTTTTTTTTTTTTTTTGGTTTAGCATCAGAACTCCCTCCTCTTGTTTGGAAAATACAAAAGGGTTTGTGAGCCTGTGGGTTGAACTCCAAAAAAGCCTGATATCTTCCTTACTCCTCATAAGACACAAGCATATGACCTAAGGTGGATTAATTGAATGTCATTGTCCCTAGCTGTGAATAGGGAATAGTGTTATAGGAAGGAGTAAGAGATTAGAATTATGCCAGTGGCCTTCCTGTGCCCCACTCTGTCACCATCCAAGTGTCCAGGAGTGGTGGCCCTTTAACTAGGTTGTACCTTTGGCCATGGATCCAGCCATCTGCTTTTCCTAGGTTTCCAAGCTTATCTGGTAATCATCCAGGAAATTTTTTTTTTTTTTTTTACTACTTAAGGACATCAAAAACAGTTTCAGTTTTTGCCTGATAACAATCACTCTCATCAGTCTAAAGAAACTATTATCAGACTAAGGATGCTACAAGGCTTGTATATGAGGACTACAGTTTTGTTTTGTTTTTTTAAGTAGGGGGCTCAGACTCACAACCTCAAGATCAAGACCTGAGCTGAGAGCAAGAGTCTGATGCTTAACCAGCTGAGCCACCCAGGTACCCCTGAACACTGTAGGTTTCTAAGTGATAATAAGAGGTTACCTGACTAAGCTCCAAGAGGCAGAGACTGCGTCTGAATGGATTACTATTGTATTCCCAGCTCATAGCTCAGTGCCCCAGCAAACATGTTCAGTAAATATTTTCATTTTGACTTGAATGAATAAAATAATAATACCCATTTATAGTCCTCTTCAATCTCTATTTTAGATTTAGATATGACTGTTTTTAGTGTGGGTTTTCCATAGGAAGAAAGAGAATTTAAAAAATGATGACACTAAGGTTTTGAATTCAGGTAAACAGGAGATTGTTTTTTCATTAGCAGAAATGAGAAGTCCGGAGGAAAGAGGTTTCTGCTATGGCTTTTACTTTTTCATAACTACAGGTTAAATAAGTTGTGTTACTTACTAGATAGCTTCATATTTTGAAAAGCATGTAGTCCCTCCTATTAGACTTCAATACAGCAAAAACAACTTACTTAACAACTTCAGACTGTCACTTGAACCTGCACGAAGAATGTTTTTTTTAATGGTTTTGCATATGTGATTTATTTAAACTTTCAAAACAATTAGCAAACTTGTTATTACCCTGCTTTTGTCATTTGTGACTCTGGGAGAAGCAAGGAAGTCATTTCTCAGTATTCTGAATATAGAAAAGACTGAAATGCTGTTTTTCATAAAAACTGAAGAAAGTGTCATTGAAGATCAAGTTATGAAAATGATTGGCCAAACTCCAGCTGTCTCTGCTTGCAAATAGATGATCTTAAACTGTTGCAAGTGGTGAATGTGACAAAAACCTTATCAAAAACCTTGTGACAGGGGCACCTGGGTGGCTCAGTGGGTTAAGCCTCTGCCTTCGGTTCGGGTCATGATCTCAGGGTCCTGGGATCGAGCCCCGTATTGTGCTCTCTGTTCAGCAGGGAGCCCGCTTCCCTTCCTCTCTCTCTGCCTGCCTCTCTGCCTACTTGTGATCTCTCTCTGTCAAATAAGTAAATTAAATCTTAAAAAAAAACAAAAACAAAAACCTTGTGACAGATGAAGATGGAGAGACAACTGTGTTCAACTGTGGGATTCTGAAGGTAGGCAAGGTTCAAGAAATGTTCAAGTCAAAGTGCTTAAACAAAGAAAGATGGTCTTAAGGCACCAATGCATATTGATTGAAATATCCTAAATGCTTATTCTACCAATTTGCATTGGATGCAATATTGAATTGCTGGTGTTTGAAACAGTGTGAGAGAGACCTTTCCCAATAATTCTTGGGTTAGTTACGCAATTTTTTTTTCTTATGCCACTTTATGAATTGCCTTTGACACAGATCTGGTATCACAGGAGGCAAAACCTAGGCTTTTGGATTTATAATGACCTGCACATGCCCAGGAGGAATGAATGTCTTCTGCTTCCAGAAGGAGTTGTCTTTTGGCCGTTTAGATAACTTGCAGTTCAGTGTTATTGGCCCTGATATTGATG